AGAAAATAATAATTCTGATTGAAATACAAAAAAAATGTACTGGATGATTGACCAAAACTCTACGCTGTCTCTATATAATAAATTATTATTGTATAAGCAAATACTAAAACAATAGTATTATTATAAAAACAGTATAAATATTTAGAAGGAAAATGTCACTAATCAACAGAAAATATTTCTATTCATATAAAAATTTAATAAAATTATAGGTACTTACTGCTTATTTATATAAAATTTCCTATTTTAATTACAATAAACACACTGGTTTGTCAAAAGTCGGAATAAGCCCTAATAATGTTATTCAACTTTATTTATCCTCCTCCGAGGGTTTTACCTACCTGGCGAGAATCCAGAAGCTACCGACAAGGACAGCCTGTGCTGACGGAGAGAAAATTGCATTTAGCAGAAATTTGAAATTTTTTAAAAGTTTATATCAAATAGCTGCTTTGTGTTATACTTTATGTTAAAAATAAAAACAGATTCGGAAAGTGAGTCAAATTCTGTAGTGCCCTATTTCAAAAAAAAAATTTTTACATTTATTTTAACCAAAAATATTTGAAAAAAAAATTGTTTAAACAATTTATTAATTTACAACCAAATAGTGCATTAGAACTTTTATAGACCTTTCATATAAAAAAAGAATCATCTCAATATCTGCCATAGTTTTTGCGTTATTTGATATAAACTTTTACATTGGAATTTACCTATGCCCAGAATCGCGAGGATCGGCCTTAAGTTGTAAAGGGAGATGGTTGTGTAGTTTTTGTGCCGAATATAATATACCTAGATTTCTTTACTAGCTCAGTGGACGGAATAACATCGAAGGTTGAATTTCTGGTGGAGTAGTTGGAAAAACATGTATGTGTTTACAAATTAAGCAAACAGTTTCTAAAATATATAAAGAGAGAAGCGTTAAAATCCCATGATTTTTAAGTAGCTTGTGCAATGGGTTGTTCTTCTAAGGCCAAATAGATACCGTATTGCTCTCTTTTGTAATTTAAAAATAAAATCAGATTGGGCAGCCGTACTAGAACCCCAAAAAGAAAGAATATGTCGAAGATGAGACTCGAATAAGAAAAAGATATTGTGGAAAATGCTAAATTGATTTCCTTCGAAACATATCTTATTGCATAGCAGACTGAGGCTAGTTTCATACTTAAAAAAGAGATATGAAGGAACCGATATTGTTACCGGGCAGAAATCATTATTTGTAGAAAAAATTAGGGTTCCACCATAAGCTGAACTTTGACAATCATATCTAGCAATTGTGGTATATTTTTCTACAAAAAAGCCTTGTTGACTTCAAGCCAGCGCTCTGTAACCGCAACTATCGGTGAAAATCCTAATTCCTCTAGAAACAAAAATAATTCAGCTATTTTATATTTTATAGAACGAATATTAATCTAGAAAAATGCTGAAGCTGTCATCAATAAAATCATTTGAGGTTTCTAGTACCACAGAACACGTCGTGTTGTTTAAAAATTTCGTTTTGGAGAGAACGAAATTGTAATTTCGGTGGCATTCCCTTGATTTTTGCAGGTGAATAATTCTTTTATGTAATGAATAGCGTCCAGTAAGCTTGGATTTGCAGTTCACCTAATTTGCTAGCGAAGAGAAGTCTTCTGGCTTCTCGTTCCTTCTTATAGATGTCGCTACTAGCGTACTTAGGCCTGTTATGGTATTATAACGACTAAATAGTAAAGAACATTTCATTTCTGTTTAAGCACCCAAAAGTGCTCCTAATTAGAGGTGAATACTTCGAAACACGTGTAATATGTATCGACATCAGAAGGCCCTGGACATAAGAGGCCTAGGTGCGGTTTTTGCAAATTACAATAATAAATAAATACTCTCTCTTACACGCAATCGTCCAAGAAAGAATAGATAGAAGGGTAGAAGGGTAGAAGAATAAAAGGGCTTGGGCGGAAAAGGAAATGGATGAGTAATATTAGGTAGTGAACGAACCTCTGTGTAGAACGATATTTCACGATGCAAAAGATATGGAAGATTTTCAAGAAATGATTGCCAACCTACCAACGCTAGAAGATGACATGAGAAGAAGAAGTAACAATATTTTTAATTTAAGTAATAATATTGTACGATAGGCATCGCCATAGTCCCGTCAGTGCTTTGTACACACGCATTTTCACCACATGTTCCTCTTCCATCGATGTGCGCTAGAAGGCCTACGACCGTATAAAAGAGCAGCCGCCACAAGAGAAAGAAGAGTGTCCGTCGGAGTATTGATCTGAAAACAACTCATGTGGCCCTAGAATATTGAATGAAGGCCAACTGCTTCTGCTGGAGTATTGATCTAGTGACTGTAGTATGGATCATGGTCTTAGAGTATTAATCTGAGACAGACCTATTCTTTTCTGTGACCGAGTACTGATTGCTCACCGTCCGTTTCTCGTCAGGCCGAGTGTTGATTGGTCCGTTCTATGTCTATTCCTCCGACCCATTCCTTCCCGTCTACGTATTAACACAATTTTTGTGTCACCAGGATTGACGTTTTAATTTTTATTGTATCTAATTTTATTTTATTATTTATTTATTTCGAATATATTTTTATTTAATTTGCACCTGTGTTATACCGAGTCTGATGTCTAAAAGAGCTTTTAAATGTGTATCAACCTTAAATAAAATAAATTAAAAATAACATGTGTTTTAATTGAATAAAATTATTAGCAAAAACTTTACACGCTAGTTGGTGAAGAAAATTTCTATACACCGGAGTTCTCATATTTTAAAAGTAGTTTTGTTGATAATATCTGAATGTATTGTTTCGAGAAATACAAAAATAATACTAACCAGGCACAGGCGTCAGCCACTGTTGATCTTTTCAATTACTCACCAATTTAAATAATTATAAAATGTTTGCTTTGTAAATACTGACTCGTTAAAATCTATTTATTTTGATTTGAGTAATTTATTTTTGAAACGACTTCATAAAATATGGCGAGAGGAAAAATTCCAAGAAAGTAATGCGTGGATTGCACTCCGGTATTTTGTTGTTTTTGTGAAATTTACTTTTACTCTAAATAAACGAATGTTTAATGACGTCTTTTAGGTATAAAGTATCACTTACGTCATGTAATGTTTACATTTCTCAAACTGCACAATTTTCCTTTTTGCAGTATTCGACTTTCAACAGTGAATAAGTAGGAGGTTCACAGTAACCATGTTTTATTCACACAAAAAACGATTTTTCGCAGTTTTCTTACATCGATAATTTTGTTTGACGTATTTGATGGATCCACGTGATTTCCGATAAAATCGGAAGGCTTCGGCTCTTTTGGTTCCTCCCAAGCTAGAGGCCATTATCTAATACAATAGGAAGGTTCAATAATTCAAGTCGATTTAACTTTCTTGTTATTCCTTCAAAAAGTTAGAGATGGCGGAGATATTGAGCAAAAATGGTTCTCCTTTAAAATCAAGATAGCGGCTAACGCAACGATTTTATGTTATATTTTTTACTACTATTGATCCTCCTAAAGGTTATTGGGACCGTGCAAGTTCGGAACAGCGACACCTGGTGTCGTAAATCAGCAAAATTTACTGCGCTTTCATGTTAGATCGAGGCTAACGGATAACTGTCAAGGACGTAGCCCCAAAAAAGAATAAGAAGAAAAAGTAAGATTGAGGTTATGTCGGTATGTTATTAAGAGGTAAACGTTGTATGTAGTTTGAATACAAATAAATATACCTATTATTAAATTACAGTATTACTGTTAATATGGATGCAATAATAAAAACTGGATTTGAGAAAGTAAATCACCAAATAACTTTCAACCAAGCACTGAGTCAAAGGGAAAGGCTTTAGTAGTGGCAAATGTCAAAAAATAATGAAAGAATTATATGGAATTATTAAGAAAAATAAATTACCATAATTAATGCTAATGCATAAATTAGCAGGTTAAGCCCATGATATCATCATATTGGTTTGAACAATTAATTCTTTCCCTGTAAACTTTTGGACAGCGAATATATCTTAATGCATCTTCAGAAAAACTTGATGCATTTTTGTAAACTTCAAAAAAATAAAATTTAAACATTAAACTTGATTTTTGGGTTAAAATGAACTCTAAGTGAGTGTTATGAAACTAAAATTTACACTTAAAAGTGAACTTTTATTTATTATTTATTTCAAACTGACTTTAAAATCGGGTGCAAGAATAATGCATAATTTAGGTTATGTTACTTATGCTTTTTTATGATATAAATCCACTTTTCTCTTTGTAGTAATTTGAGCTTCGAATTTGCAAACGAATAAAACTTACATTGACAATTTTTTGTTGTATTTTTACAATTTATAACACAGCAGTTCCTAAATCCCATTTTCTTCAGTGACAGAAGGTGTAAATAAACAAACGAATATGAAATATGACAATTGACAATATGAATTTATGAAATCTATGAAATGTGCAGTAAGAAATGCAAGATTTCTCCGCTACTCGCGCACGATCGTTTCTCGTATCACATCCAAGTACTTGCACGTCGCCAATAATTAACAAATTTGGGGTAGCTCGTCGTGCAAGGTTTGGTCTTTTTTTCCTTTAACTAGACTAAACTAGGAGGAAATATGGCTTTGGGTCAAATCAGTACGACAGTTGGGATACGGGACATGCGCCGGATACAGTACTTTTCTTTTATTGAGGGTTTGACAGTTTAAAATATTGCCCTCAGATAAAAAATTAGGCGGGATATAAAAAATGTGACACTGTAAAAATGGTAAAACAATAAAACTGCAATTTAATTTTTATACTACTCATTATACAAAAAATATAGTTATTAGTCGTGGTATTTAATTAGAGATTTAATCTTCCCATAATTCGTACATATTTCCGGTCGATATCTCCATTCTTGTTGGTCTGGTTATCACATCTGAACGGATTTACAGTGTGACCTCCCAAACTGATTTTAGTAAGCCTATTTTAATTAAGTTTAAAGTTAAATAAATAACATCGGTCTGGTAATTGTAAGTAATGGATTTTTTTTTGTTTTAGAAAAATAACGTCACATATTTTCGTTTTTGGACAGAGTGGACTTACAACGGTTTCAGTTCTAAAGTGTTTTTGAGCATCTATAAAGGTAAGATATTTAATATGGTTTCCTAGAGTGATTTCGTAGAAATCTATATATGTAAATATTTTTGTGAAATCATAAAATTACTAAAAATGAATTTTCGCTCATTCGGTGATAAAAGATGCAAAACTGATACAATTTTCATCAATTTATTTTTTCTTAGGGTGCCTGTCCGTTCCGAACGTTGGCGATCATTGTGGCTATGGTGACTTTGTTGATTGCTATACGGAATAGCTGTGTTGAGGTCTTGCTATACCATGCTCTCAGGTTAGCAAGCCAGGATATTCATCCTGGGGCCTTTTTCCTTCAATTTTAAAAATTTTTCAATTTTTCCTTGAATTTCCTTCAATAAAGTAGCTTTACGAGCTACTCCAATGCAAAATGCATTGGAGTAGCTGGTATCTGCCTTGATTTCTCATTATATGTCCCAAGTGCTGCAGCTTACGGCCCTTCACGATGTTGACCAAATCCGCAATTATGTTCATTCTCTGCAGTACTTCTTCATTGGTGACTTTGTCTGTCCATGGTATCTTCAAGATCCTTCTGTATGACCATAGCTCAAAAGCCTGAAATTTTGATAGAGTTTCCGCCTTTAATGTCCACGTTTCTACTCCGTACAGAAGCACTGAGTACACATAATATTTAAGGAGCCTTATTTTTGTTTCTAGGCCATGAAGAATGATGTGTTTTCTTCCTTTGCTATCTGTGTGTTTTATTGATTTTATGCTGTCGTCTTGCCAAATTCCTTTAATTTCACCCTTTGCAAATATCCATGTCTGATCTAAGTATACGAATGTTGCATTTTCAGATTTAAGTCTAGTATATTCTTTTACAACTTTAATTCTTTTGTGAACCACACTTCTCCTTTCGCTTAAAAGTATCCTATTATTTTCTTTTTCAAATTTAAATCCTAAATCTCTCAACACATTCCAAAGACTAGTCCTCTTAATTTCAGAAACTAGTCTTTCTCTTATTTTGATCAGTAAAGTATTTAAACTGACATGTTGATTGTTTTCATGCATTTAATACAAAATATTGCGAATTGTGAAGTAGCTTCTAGAAGCTACTTCAAATCATATTGGGCATATTTCATATTCTACTTTTATCAGATTGGAGAGCTGTACTAGAACCCCAAAAAGCCCATATCGAAAATGAAACTCAAACAAAGAAAAATATGAAAAATACATTTTGAAATATGCTAAATTGATCTGCATCGCAGAGACCTGGAAAAATTACTGCTCAGAATTATACAAAGACACTTCAAAAGATGACGCATCAGTCTCAGAACACAAAAAACATGCAATCAGAGAGGCTGAACCAATCATTTTACGAGCAGAAGTAGAGAAGGCTCTTAACCAACTAAGAAACAAAAAAACTTCAAAAATCCTGCGACATATAATCAATGAACGGCTAAAGAATTTTCTACTTCCAGAGATAGCCGAAGAACAATGTGGATTTGTACCACGAAAGGGAACGCGTGAGCAAATACTCAACACCAGACAGATAGTAGAAAAAGCGAGAGAACATAACATACCAATGTTGCTCTGTTTTGTAGATTACACAAAGGCTTTTGATTCAGTAAAATGGGATCCTCTCTGGAGTATAATGGAAAATATGGGAGTACCTAACCACCTAGTTAACCTAATAAGAAATCTGTATAATAAAAACTCAGCCAAAGTTAAAGTACATGGAATATATTCAAATGCATTCAAAACAGAGAAAGGAACTAGACAAGGTTGCATACTATCACCATTATTGTACAACATATATTCTGAATATATAATGAGAAAAGTACTAGATGAATGGGATGGAGGAATCACTATAGGAGGCAGAAAAATCAGTAACCTGCGATACGCAGATGATACACTTATACTAGCAGCGAATGAAGTCGAAATGATTACCATCATCGAACGGCTAAGCCGAATAAGTGAAGAATTCGGACTTCAAATCAACACCGGAAAAACAAAAATAATGATTGTAGACAGAGCAAATAATAATCTGCCGCATATACGCCAAATACGGATTTTCGAAGTAGTCGACAGATTTGTATACTTGGGCTCTCTGATAACCAACAATGGTGATTGTTCCTCAGAAATCAAACGTAGACTAGGAATGGCCCGAACCGCAACTGCTAAATTAATTAAAATATGGAAAGACCAAATAATAACAAGGAATACTAAGCTCAGGTTGGTCAATGCCCTTATTTTTCCCATTGCTACATATGCAGCTGAAACATGGACTCTCAAAAAAATCGATAGCAGTAAGATCGAAGCCTTCGAAATGTAGGTATATAGAAGAATTCTACGCGTGTCATACCTAACTTACTTCGGCCACATAGCTAGAAGAACGGGCACCATGGAACTATTGGTAGTAGAAGAAAAGGTAGAAGGCCGAAGACCAAGAGGAAGATCTCCAATACGATGGGTAGACCAAATGAAGAGTTTGGTGGGAAAATCCCTACATGAAGCCGTCCATATGGCACAAGATCGCAGTCAATGGAGACAGCAGACTAACAATATTTAGGGTGTCACTACGCCATGACAAGGGCTAAAGGATTGAGGAGAGGAAATTGATTTCCTTCGAAACAGATCTTATTGCATAGCAGGCTGAGGCTAGTTTCTTGCTTAACAAATCGATATGAAGTGACCATTTAAGGTTGATTAATTGCAATAAGGTTGTTTATTGCATATTGTTGTCACCAAACTTATCAAACTTGGTTGTTAAATACCTGTATCAATGAGTGTCATGGGAAATCATTAGTTCTTTGGTCTATATATTCTGTATCATGGATCACAAATGTTCTGCTGGAGAAGAATGTTGTGAACTCCATGGAGTCACCAAAGAACAAATAATTCTATTATAAAAGAACTAAAGATCAATAAGAGACTCTCCGGCAAAGTTAAATTGCAACAGTTAAAATATTGTGGACTATACATTGAAAAATAAGACCGAAGACTACGAGGAAGATCTCCAATAAGAAGTCGCAAAAGACCGATGCACGATATAATAAAAATGACCAGACAGTCATGGAGACATGACTACACTCCCTCCAAAGGATCAAGAGAAATTTATTAGTAATTATCTAAATTAGTTCCAGAAAAAAATAAATTTATGTATAAAAATATTCGTAGGCTTTTCCGGTGTATATATAGACTTTTTCGAAGATTTTTCTGCGAATATTGTATTCATTATATTAATTCAATTCCCGAAATTATGGTTGCAGTATTTTGATATCTTCTCGAACAAAAATTCCCAGTTGTATTAATTATCATAATTCATCCGTATCGTGCCAAATGAATAATGATTTCTAGATACTGAATAATTAATATATTAACACGCTTTTGATAATGGGGTTTTTTAACCTAGTAGTAACACATCGTCGAGTGAGACTGAAGTTGTAGAATAAATTGCGGTTTTAGTTTTTGTTATTGTTAGATAGAAAAATTCTTTAATAAAAATAGGTAAGACTGTTTTACTGTTTATTTACTGTGTTTATTTAAATTACGTAAAGATATTTATATATTTAAAATAAAACATGTGTAGTGTGCATATAAGTACTATAACCATAAACTCTCAAAAAAAATTATTTTAAAAGGATTCTGACAATTTTGTCAGAGGTTATATCATCAGAAATTGTATTTTATTGGATAAACTTTTAATTTTTACAAAAAACTTATTGTTTATCAATCTGACGAGAACAAACTGATGTACAAAAACGCAAAATCGAAGCTCGTAATATTATGCTTTAGGTCTATTCTTGTCTAATCCAGTGGTTCTCAAACTTTTTTAGTCGCGGTACCCTTGTAGGACTAAAACTATTTCGAGCCACACCAACCTTGAAGCGATTTGAAAAACGACAAAAAACGAAAAGAATACAATTCTGAGGCTCATTTGATTTCAATATAAACTTTATTTTAGATCAATAAAATACGGTACATTTGATATTCAAATATCCTTACTTAATGTGATGAAAAAAAACTGTTTTGATGATGTTTTCATTATATCCTTTATAATTATGGGAATCCTAAATCCCTTGATGCTTAAATGTTTGCTTCTGTATTTGTTTTTAATGTAAGCATATGCGGAGAAATAATTAATAAAGAAATAAATTAATAAGGCTCGTAAAAACAACTATGAGTAAAGTGATCTGCAAATACAAGGCGATATGTCACAAGCGTTTGAAACATATGCAGGGTTACGGCAGGGAGACGCGCTGGCGTGCCTTCTCTTTAATATAGCGTTAGAAAAGACTATAAGAGATGCCGAGTTACACAATAGGGGAACAATCTTTAATAAATCAACGCAGATTATGGCTTACGCTAACGATCTGGATTTGATCGCACGTACTACACGAGGACTTAAAGAGATCACTTCCACCTTCTTGACAGCCGCACAAAATATGGACCTTAAAATAAACGAGGAAAAAACCAAAATGTTTTAGCATCTATTCCAAATAACAGAGATAGAGCTAGAAACGCCGAACAAAACTTCAGTATAGACCAATATAATTTTGAGGTAGTAAATAAGTTTACATATTTGGGTTCTCTCATAACAAACGATAATGACACATCTGAAGAAGTTAAACGGAGGGTACTTCTTCTTCTTAGAGTGCCGTCTCCCTACGGAGGTTGGCAATCATAATGGCTATTTTTATTTTAGAACTTGCTGCTCTAAACAAATCAATCGATCTGCATTGGTACCAATCACGTAGATTCTTTAACCATGAGTTCTGCCTTCGGCCAACAGATCTTCTTCCTTGAATCTTTCCCTGTATTATCAGTCTCAAAATTTCATATTTTGGTCCCCTCATCACGTGGGCTAGGTATTCCAGTTTTCTGGTTTGTATAGTGGTGATTAGTTCTGGTTCTTTACCAACCCTCTCCAGTACTTCTTTATTTGTAATTCTATCAGTCCATGATATTTTCAATACTCTGCGGTATAACCAGAGTTCTAAGGCCTCGATTCTTTTTAAATTACATTTTTTTAATGGCCAAGTCTCAGCTCCA